CACTAAACCATCGGAGAACACGCTGCCACGCGAAATCACCGAGTCACGGAGCACCATACCAGTGTAGAACCTGAGCTTAGCGAGCCACGGAGGACAGCAGTACATGATAACACGATTGCACGGACTGCAGTTAGAGTATTGAAATTGAATGTCGCAGTGGGTTGGTTGAAGAGAACGTCAAGATCGTTGAAGCATTTGCTGATCGCTGGCCAAATTTGCGTAAACTCTACGTGTGCGGTCAAGATGTACGTGATACGGAATTATCGCTGGTGAATCTTTTTTCAGAGGAAACTATTGTGTACACAGATAATCTCCGGTTTGAGCCTTCAACAACGATTCACATCGAGGATGAGTTTGCTCTGATGCCTAACGCGTGGGTTGCAATATTTACAAGCTCAGTGTGCCCTCGTCATAGTGCTGTCTGCCTGAAGACATTTTGCTGTTGCTGGGAATTGAATAGAGAAATTAACGTATCAGTAAGTTGGACATGATCCTTAGTAAAGCTGTACATCTCGAAGCGAAGCGGAGTGAAAACATAATATATTGGCACTTTAGAGAATACTGCCCACAGCTGGGCTTTTTTCTGCGGGGAATTTGGAGGCGGATCCTTTAGTTTCATTTTGTACAGCTCAGAAGCTTTCATGATGTTTCCTTAGCTCTAGAATAGATGTTGCGGAAGATAAAAGGTGTGGAATTTTCCCCAGCAAGTGAGACCTGGCTGTTGGCAGTAATAAGACTTGGACATTGCGGTTTTGATGGTCTGGATCTAAACCGCTTTGCGGGCACGTCGCTTTCACACGCTTGGTCAAAATACAATGTGGTCATGGGGTGGGATTTCCAAACGGATCAGAATGGCTCCATTTGATTTTCCGTCACTAGTGTTAGTATAGTCTACTAATTTGAGTCATTCGAGAAAGGGTTAAGCGCTCCCTATTGTGCCATGGGCAAATTTACGGACTACGGGTGTTCCATCCCCGCAGAGGATGCCATTATTCGGCGCAGGAGAGGGATTGACTACAAGTGCTATCGAGTGCAGCGTGGCTACCGTAGTTTTAGCGTTTGAGAAAGACGTCTGACTAAAAGCGTTCGAAATATTGTGCCTTACTGCCAAAACGCTCTCAGTTTTATATACCCTACGTAGGAGGATGGTCCTTACGGAAGACCTCCTATCTGATCGGGTGCATCCGACTAAATTTAGCTTAACCCTTTGACGAAAAAAAAGACGATGGCAATCAAATACATATTTGACCGGACCACGCGCATTTACTCAGGGAGGACCCAAACCATAGCAATACTATACAACAAATTAACAAGGTAAGATGCAGCAGTCACAAAATTATTATTGTACAATACCTTCCATCCTTTGAAGTTTCATCGACAAACACGATTTGATCTGGCCCGCTGTAGAAAGGCAATAGCCTGTTCACATACTCTTGCCTTGCCAGCGTATGTCTGATGAGTAGCCCATATTTGATTTAAAATCAATCTGTTGTGGATACCTTACGTAAGGGTAAATGGCCGGCAACTACTGACCTTTCAGCCCTTAACTTGTTAAAAGGTACATTTTAGACCAAATAGGCCCTTACGTAAGGACTCCACAATAAAGTATTATTGGATCATAGTCGGCAAAATCAAACAGTGTTATTGGCAATTTATCATTTTATTTAGTGGCCTGGCTTAGCAATTTAACTCCAGTTCGTCCTCAAATCCCACCTTTAGCCCTACCCACCCTTGCTCAGGACCGCTCTTTAAAGGTCAGATTGGCCCAAAACTTTGAAAAAGGCACAATGCTACATGTATGTGTCTTTTTTACCGCTCAAAATATCTCAGGCGCCAAAGCTGTTTATTACAACTTAGCAACTATTTGCTTCAAAAGTGTTTTGTCTGTTTTTATTGCGACCAAGCCGCCTAAGGGGTAAATGTATCTACTCAGCTATCTACCCAAGCTAAATCTAATTGAATGTATATCGTGTGTACGTAATGACATTCATGGCTAACAATCCGTGTTATGTACTGAGCGTTTGTCTGCACGCACCCGTCTGTCCCACACAGTGAGGCTAGCCCCGTTACAGAATGACTTTGCGAGCTGCGTCTATGCTGCTCAACCATACCAACATTTATCGGGATCCGAAGAATCTTATAACTGTACCAAACGGACCCCCCCCCCAGAGGGGTGGGTTAAATTGTTTAAAAAATATACCCCTAAAAAAAAAAAGGTTAAAAACTCTAAGGTTTTAAATGTGTGTGGGGCCACAAAAGTTCACATCTTAAATAATAAAGAGATCCCGCGTAAGCAACATTTTGGGCGGGCGTATTCCGCGCCGCCATGAGAACGCCACCACGAGCGTGGAGACGACGCAAGGGTGGAGTGACCAAGTGTGGTGACGCGACGACAGTGGAAGATGACGGGTGACCAGCAGCGGAGACAGCAACGATGGCGGAATCGAAACGGATGACGGTGAAGAGCTGGGAGGGCGACGCTGAGCGGTAACGATGACCAAGATAGACATGCTAGGAGGGTTGCTCAGCAGAGCTGCAGTGCGGACTTGCATCGGAGTGGAAGCTCACGGTTGGGACATGGGTACGTCAATGAGCGGGACGTGGAGGAGGAGAATGCGACTTCCAA